CTTCTAAAACAGAAAGAAATTATTCTTCTTCAAAAGTTGTTTTCTAAATAAGGAAGTATGTCTTATATATGTGCAGCAGTGGGCTTGGGCTGAAAAACAAATATTCAAATCTTTTGAATATTTCCATAAAAACATGCCAATATATAACCCATAAATATAATTCAAATAGAAAAATATTCCTCCATATTTTTCGCAGCTTATGAGATACAAATCCTGAATTATGGCGCGCATGAAAGCAGGAAACAGAAAACATGAACTGATATGAGATGCGTTCAGTTCAGGAGGCAGATGTTAAGACATCTGCTTTGACATTATTCAAAACAGTTTGCTACAAATATTAAGACATTTAGCAAAACATCATCCAAACATTGTTTTACCAAAATTGCTGCCAAGAAACACTTACATTAAAGAATCCAACAATCTTAACCACTAAAGTGGAAGATTTGGTTGGTTTGTTGGAGGCGCATGAGATGAGGATTATCGAAAGGAAATGAGTGCAAGACTCGATATAGGCTCTGTAAGCTTAGTCATGGAGAAAAGATGGTGGTTCCAACAAATTCAAAGGCAAGTTCGACAAGACTCAAGGCAAGAAGTCTTGGTCGAAACCTCACAAACATCAGGTCAAAGATGGAGCTTCCGAATTCTCAAAAGGAGAAGGAGGAAATTATCAAAAGGGCAAAGAAGATAAAAAAGGCATGCAGTGCTATAACTGTGAAAAGTAGGGTTACGTAGCTAATAATTGTTGGTACAAAAAAGACAAGGGATCGACAAGAAAGGACGAAGGAGTGAACTTTGCACGTCAAGATTCAGATGATTGTGAAGGTGGTATGGTGGTTATGGCTGCGGTTGCAGACAACCATGTCGAATCCAAGATTTGATTTCTCGACTCAGGCTGCTCAAACCACATGACTGGTCGAAAGGAGTGGTTGGCAAATTTTGACGAGTAGAAAAAGAGCAAGGTAAAACTTGCTGATAATAGTTCGTTGTAAGCAGAAGGTACCAGCAATAAGTCTTTCAAATGAGTAATGGAGGGAAAACTATGATCAAAGATGTGCTTTATGTACCTTGAATAAAGTGAAAATTTCTAAGTGTTGGACAACTAGTCGAAAAAGGTTTCTCGGTTGTCATGAAAGATTGTGTTTTGAAAATGTTCTACACCAAGAACAATTTGGTCTTAAAATCTCCGTTGTCGAAGAACATGACATTTAAGACTATGATCAGTTCGATAGAAGTTCAATGTTTGAAAACTGTTGTTGACCATAATGTCGATGAAGAAACTAATGAAGTAGAGGCCAAAGGAATTGTTGAGAATCCAATCGAAGTTGAAGAAGAAGCAGTTGTTGACATTCCCGACACAGTCGAAGTCGAAGAGGTTGTGGCTGAAACAAGCCGAAGATTTCAAAGAAATAGAGTTCTTCCAACAAAACTTCATGACTGTGAAGTGATAGGTGATGAAGAAGTCACACCATATGGAGAATTAGTTCATAGTGAATCTTTGAAAACTAAACAGTGAAAGTTAGCTATGGTCGAAGAGTTACAGGCAATCGAAAGAAACAACACATGGGAGTTAGTCGAATTGCCAGCACATACAAAAGCTATCGAAGTAAAATGGGTATTCAAGTTGAAACATGATGCTGATGGCTCGATAACAAGACATAAAGTAAGATTAGTAGCTCTAGGTTTTATTCAAAGAGAAGAACTATACTAATATGAAGTATTTGCTCCATCATCAAGATTGGAGTCTGTTTGACTACTGGTAGCATTGGCATGCAACCAAGACTGGTCGACATTTCATTTAGATGTGAAATCAGCATTTCTGAATGGTCCTTTAGACGAAGAGGTCTATGTCACACAACCTCTAGGGGTTGTGATTCAGAAGGAAGCGAGTTAAGTATATAAGTTGCACAAAGAGCTCTATGGCCTCAAGCAGGCACCTAAGACATGGAACAAGAAGATCGACTCATACTTAATCGAATTGGGATTTGTCAAATGCAAATCTGAGTATGGTGTCTATGTTCAGGTTGTAGAACAAGATATAAATATCATATGCTTATATGTCGATGACTTGCTAGTGACTGAAAATAGCTTAGTGAATGGAAATAGCTTGGAGAACTTGTCGAAGTTCAAAGAGCTGATGATGAAGGAATTTGAAATGTCTGATCTGGAAAAATTATCTTATTTCTTAGGTATGGAATTTCAAATATCGAAGCAAGGTATGGTGCTACATCAAAGGAAGTATGTCAAATAAATACTGAAGAGGTTCAGAATGGATGGTTTGAATCATGCATCCTCACCTGTCGAACCAAATGTAAAATTGGAGAAGAATGGAGAGGAAGACAAAGTCGATGTAACTTTGTTTAAGCAAATTGTGGGATCTCTGAGGTATGTGTCAACCTTTTTTTATACTTTGAATTTGAATGAAAGGTTGCAAGACTCGGAACCAAAGACCTTCAGGGAAGCACTCAAAAGCAAAGATAGTCACAAATGGTTGATGGCGGTAAACGATGAGATGAATTCAGTGATGAATAACTATACTTGGGAGCTTGTGAGACTACCTAAGAAACAAATGGTGGTTAGATTCAAGTAGATTTTCAAGAAGAAGGTTTTTTAGGAATTGAAGAACCAAGGTTTAAGGCAAGACTTGTAGCAATGTGTTTCACTTAGGTGGAAGGGATTGATTACAATGAAATTTTTTCACTTGTGGTAAAATATGGATCTATAAGGGTACTTATAGAAATTGTAAAATGATATAATCTCGAGTTGGAACAGATGAACGTCAAAATAACCTTCTTACATGAAGACCTTGAAGATGCAATCTACATAAAACAACATGAAGGTTTTGTAAAAGATAAGGTTAAGGTATGCTTGTTGAAGAAGTTTTTGTAAGAGTTTAATCAAATCCCTAGGCAATGGTATCATTGGTTCGATGCACTTTTGTATGAAATATGGTTTTGTAAGAAATAATTATGACATTTGTGTATACATATTGAAGATGAACAAGAAAGTCATTATGTACCTCTTATATGTTGATGATATTTTGATGGCAAGCTCTAGCAAAAACGAGATCGATAAGCTCAAGGAGATCTTGAATGGTGAGATTGAGATGAAAGATCTCATTGAAGAAAAAAGAACCGTGGGTATGGATATCATGAGAAGCCGCAAGAAGAATTAATTGTTAAAATTGTCAACACTTATTTGAGTCATAACACAAAGCTTTCGGTTAAACAATATCCTGAAACTGGAAAAGAGAAGAAGAGAATGGAGAGTACTTCCTATGCAAGTGTGTTGGAAGCATTATGTATGGTATGGTTTGTAGTAGACCATACTTAGCAAAGGCAGTCAACATTGACTTATGTTTATACTTTATAAAGGACATGATATAGTCAAAGGAGATTTAAGTTCAGAAAAATGATATTAAAAGAGAATCCAACTAATGTGTTCGCCATATCATTGCCAAGATTAAAGTTCAAGCATAACTTGGACTTGATCAAATTTATTGAAGAGTGATTCAAGATTTGGAGAGAGCACCAAGGTGTTTAGTGGTTAAATTGACATCACCATCTCTTTAAAATCTAGGTGGAAAATTATTGTAATATTCCTTAATACCTCAAGGGAGAAAATAAAATTTAAAAAAGACACATTTCAATACTAATAGATTTTTGAGCTTGTTTGTAGAACTGTATATTAGTAGTTCATATTTTAGGACCGTTAATATTTTATTAGTTATATGATATTTCTCTTATTTATTAGATACAATTTATATAAGTTAGAAATCCTAATAAGAAGCAAAGGGTAAAATTCTTTAAAATTATATTATAGGAATTATATGACATTTTGGGGTTATCAAAAGGATTGATAAATAGCTTGAGTTTGTGTGATTATTATATTGAGCGGGAGAGATTGATAAACACCGGTCTTTAACATTGTTGTTCGATGGTATCAAGGCGTATAATTTTGATTGATTTTGAGGCTTACACTTAATTTAAAGATAAAATTACTCACAATTTAGTTCAAATTTAGAGAAGTTACAAAATTTAATTTAATATAATTTTAAAAAATTATCAATTATTTTTATTAATATTAGTCTTCCAAAAACACTATAAAATAATAGATTTGATATAATAAGTTAAAAATAAATTTAAATCTAAATTGATTTTTTTACTCAATAAAATCTAAATTGATGAAAGCTATTTTTTTAAAAGTAAATATTCTTTTCATCTCAAAATATAAGAGAAAAATATTAAAAATATAAGAGAAAAAATCAACTTTCATATTTTTCAAGTTAAAATTAAATATAAATTATATTTAATTTACATTCTCTCATCTTTTTTATAACTAACAATCAATTATAATTGTTTTTATATCTTTCTAAACATTTTATTTAAAAAAAAAACGTCAAATAATTATATTTTGATTTTTTTTTATAAAAGTATTTTATATTTATTTTTTTTCCTAAAATTTTGAAATAGAAAGAGTAACATATTACAAGTGTTAGGTCCATAATTCTAAAAAAAAAAAACTATCTTTTAGAATCTAATACTAGTTGAATAACATAATTATAGTGGATTAAAAATAAATAAAGGATAATGCTAATTTGAATCATCAAAGCATAACTAAGAAAAAAATACATAAACCTTTTTTTAGAACCGGTGTATCATCTTTATCAAAAGCTTTAAAATTAATTTTTTTTTATTACGTTTTCTAATATAAATTTTCTATTTATGGATTTATTAATTTTTTTATTATATTTTATAACACAGATTTTTTATTTATGAATTTCTTAAAATGTGTCCTTAAAACAAAGTTAGCACTACACATAAATAAAATATACTTTATCAATAGAAATTGTTCAAGTTTACAAAGACTACTATAATGACTTAAAACAATAAATATCGTCAATCTTTCTCAATAATTAAATTAAAACTCTAGTTAATAATATTGGTCCATAATAATAATAATAATAATAAATACTCCATACAAACCATTTAATTGCAATTAATTTACAGAGTTGGACCCCCACCTCCAGTTTGAGGATTTGCTGCAGTAATCTCTGCACCATTTTCCACATTCAACTGAAATAACATTAAAATGAAGAAAAAAATAGAGCTATAAGTTAGTTTAATCAAATTGATTAATTAATTAATTAGTTTGCACCCAAAGTAGAGAATGAAATTGTTAAAAGTTATTAAGAAAGAGAGTAACCATTTTTGGTGTTTGATGTTCCCCTCTAATCCTCTGACCATCATCAAGCAAAAACTGCATGGTATGATATTCCAACTCCATCTCTTCACAGTATTTCTTGAATGCTCTTACCAAAAACTTATCTTGGTTCACTTTGAAAAACAACTCTCGTCCATCCTGCATTTCAATCACAATTGTTAATGAAAGTTTTGAAAACTTAACACTTTTTTTTCTAGGAGTGTAGGTGTTAGAGAGATAATGCATGCATATGTGACATACCAATAAAGAATAGTACCAAAACCAAATCCAAAATGCATGCATAAAGTAAGAGTGATGATACATACCAAACCTTTGATTGAAATTTTGACATAAACAATGCCATCATCTTCAGCTTTGACTAAGCTCTTTCCTTTGCTAGCCAACTTATCATCATTTGAAGCCATATTGCTCATCTACGATGTTAAAGAGAATAATGACTCAGTTCAGAAAGGAAGAAAAAAAGATAGAGGACATACAAGTAGAAGAAGAGAGTAATAACAAACATATATATATATATATATATACCAGTGTTTAGTTTGTGTAAAAGTATAAATAAATCGATAATTAATAAACGTTTTAGCTTTGAGTTTCCAATTTCAAGCATGGGGGCATTATAGTAATTGTGTATGACATGTTACGTCAAAAATAGTAAATGAGGTATGTTTACATCAAAAGCTGAAATAACAAGTAAGCGTCAGTGCATTATCAAAGTGACTTAATGAACAAGAAAATTCAGTAGAAGATGAAGGGAATCGGATTCTATGTGAAAGTGACATGGGGAAGGAAAAATATTATTGTTACTATTGTCAAGTTAGTGTTTCGGTTGTTGATATTATTTTAATATATTTAAGTGTGTAAGTGAGAATTTTTCACAAATATATTATTTTTTTCTAATTTAAATATTAAATTATCATTTTTTTTCTTTATAAATATCAAAATACTATCTTTTCAAATAAAAAATAATATCTTAAATTACATCCGATAATTGATTAGACAGAATCTCTTCTTTTATATATTTTTAATTTTATATATATATATATATATATATATATATATATATATATATATATATATATATATATATATATATATATATATATATATATATATATAATTTTATTAAATTTCGTTAGTAAATATGTAGAAAATTCCGTAGAAAAGAAATTCTATAATAAAATCTGCATAAAAAACTCAATTATTTCTAAGAAAATCCAATATATATATATATATATATATATATATATATATATATATATATATATATATATATATATATATATATATATATATATTTGAGAAATTCACAAATAATTTCGTAAGAATGTTATTTCGCAAAAAAAATCTCTAAGAAAATCAATAAGTGCTAAACAAAAAATTGCACATCTGTTAAATGAATGGACGAAACCTTATCATTTTGTACTCTTCCGTCTAAACATGGCAATATAATTCATACTTGTGGGTACCTGCCTGAATCCGCCCCGAATTTGACGGGGAAACTCGTTTTAACTGAATTTGAGTTCGGGTTTGAGTTTTTCACGATTTCAAGATATAGAGATGGAGCGGGTAACGAGGAGTGTAGTACCCACTCCGAATCCGTCATGTTTATTATTATTATTATTATTATTATTATTATTATTATTATTATTATTATTATTATTATTATTATTATATTGTAATATATATGATTTAACAATATATGCCGCTACAGTATCACAATTATATGGTTGATAAATTAATACTTTTATTGGTATTTTATTATTCGAAATATATGTTTAAAATTTTTCGAGATTGTATTTTATATTTGAAATATAAGTTAATATATATTAAGATTTGGGCAGGTTTTAGGTTTGAAGTGAATTTTAAGTTTGGAGAAGTTTTTGGATTTGAGATATATTTTGAATTTGGGAGTGGAGCGGGAATCCTCAGACCCATTTAGGACGGGTTTGAAATTCAATTATCCATTTTGACGGAGATTGAGGCGGATAACGAGGACTTATCTTAAATTTGAGTTTAGGTTTGAAAAATACAAAAACCGTCTCCGCTCCCAACCGGTTGCTATGTCTACTTCCGTCCATTAAATAAACCGAGCCTTTTTACCACTAATAAATTTTTTTAAAACTATAATATATTAATATATATATTAATAAATTGAGTGTTAGTTTAATATTTTATTTATAAAAAAATGGTAGAACAGTAAAAATTTGTGTGATAGAAGATAGATTAGGTGTATGTTTGGTTAGCAGTACAAAATAGAGAATCACAGCAAAAAAAACCACGGTAGCCTACAAGCTTCTCTTTTTTACGGTAGGATTGTCTACAAACATGCGGCAACGGCAGAAATAAGTAGTTCCAAACACACACTAGATAAAATTATGCTTTTAGTTTAATTGTAATTCGATTGGATTTTGTTATAGTTGGCTTTTAGTTTGTTACGTATCTACCAGTAGCATTAAGGAATTCTTTATTACATTTTATATAGTTTAAAAGAATCCTTTGAAAAATTAAAATTGCCTATATTTTTTTGAAAATATATTTTCTGATGTACATTTTGTATCGCACAAAATTGAGTTAATTTGGTATCGTTCTAAAGTCAAACTAAATATTTCGGAGATATATCTCTGAGAATGTGATATAATAATTTGTTTCAGAACTATTACATGAATAATTTTGAAAGATGTAATTTCGGTAAAATTGTGTGGGAAAATTAGAGTCCGGTCACCTTTACATGTCAGATTATTTCAGAGATGCATCACTAGAAAAATCAAAAGTGAAATTGCTAAAAACAGAAAGAAACCTGCATGATCAACTTCATTTGCCATATTTTTCTTAAACCCTCTCCAAAAACCTTTTCATTCTCAATCAAATTTTTCACTCAAAATCTCATTTATTTTGTTTTATCATATCAAAAGGAGGTAAAGGAAGTGAAATTTAAGGTAAAGTTCATTCATTTCAACCCTCATTCTTCACATTAGTGTGATTTTGTAACAAAAAAAGGTCACGCTTTTATCAGAAGTGTACTTCTAAAATTTCTATCGTCCAGAGATACATTTCTGAAAGTTGTCTGTGCTGATTTACCAGCAATCTTTTTTGTGTTATGGGTATTTCTTAGTTTTTATGTTTTTGTTTATATTAGGTATGATGCATCCTGATATTATCCTCAAACCTATTGTGTCTCAAGATGCTTCACATGTCCTAGTGAAAGTGATAAATATCCTAAATCATTTTATAAATGAATAAGAGTATGAATTTTGCGATGACATGCTGTAATAGATTCATACAGAGGCCACCGAACTGAGGTTTGGTGTTGTGATCGCAAGGTTCGATAATGTTTCGGCTAGAAGAAGTGGATTTGTGACATTGGGATGCCAAAGAAGTGGTAAACATATACCTCCTCTCTGAAATTTCAAACGAGATGAAACCGATTCAACAAAATGATAATGTCCATTTAAGTTGCGTGGTTATCAGTTGGTAAATAATAAAAAATGGAGATTTAATGTGATATGTGGTTTACTTAACAAAGATTTATATGCAAAGTTAGTCGGCCATCCAATTGCATGTCTCCTCTTGTCGGAAGAGAAAGAATATGTTTTTGACATGACATTGAATTTGGTACCTCCCAAAAACATACTTGGCACCTTGAAGTGCAAAAGACACGGTAATATCTCAAATATTAAGCAAACGTACAATAGGCATTATCAATACAAATTAATGCTTATGGGGGATAGAACTGAAATGTAACACCTCTTGAAACTTCTAGATGATAATAATTACGTATCTAGGCACCGGAGATGCAAGGATGGAGTACCAGTGAGAGAGATATATTGGATTCATCCCGATTCCATAAAATTATTCAATATATTTTCCAATGTGCTTATAATTGATTCAACATATAAGACCAATAAGTACATGCTTCTATTATTGGAAATTTTTTGTGTATGTCTACTGAGAAGATGTATTCTGTCGATTTTGCATTTCTAGAGTGCGAAAAAGAGGGCAATTTTGCTTGGACTTTAGAGGTTTTTTCAGTTAATGTTGAAGAACCAAGAAGAAATGTTGAAAGTAATTGTTACGGACCGTGATACCGCTTTAATGAATTTGGTTGCAAAGGTATTTCCTACTACCTATGCATTACTTTGTATGTATCACATTACAAAAAATATGAGAAGTTGGATTAAACCCGCGGTAGCAACAAAACAGATAGAGGTTGAAGATGGAAAAATGGCCAAGGCAGACGTTATTGTGGAGAGAACTATGGATGCATGGAAATGTTATGATAAATGAATCTACAAAAGACCTATATGTTGATGTTGTTATACATTTCAGGAAGGCGTGCGTGAAATATCCCGATTTACTGAAATATGTTGAAAGTACAATTTTGGACCAAGTAAAGGAGAAGATTGTTTGTGCTTGGACCGATCAAGTTATGCACCTTGGAAATACAACAACAAACCGAGTTGAGTCTGATCAAGCTTGTTTAAATAATTGGTTGGGAAATAGCAAGGGTGATTTATCAGCGGATTGTGAACTCGTGTAACATATGATACAAAACCAACATAATGAGATACAAATATGATTTGATCGTAGTATCATAGTGTTAGAACACAAGTTCAAAGACAACACTCTATATTCTGAGTTTGTCGGTAATATATCTCGATCAACTCTGAATTATAATTTTCATGAAGCCAAACGAGCTGGTAAATTAGGTTTAAACAACTCAAAGCATGGTTGTATACTAGTGAGAACCTATGGTCTCCCATGATCTTGTGTTATATCTAAGAAGGTGGAACTTGATAGCTCGATACGAATGGACAAAGTCCGCAGTCATTGGAAGAGACTCAATTTTGATGATGACGATTTTATGAAAGACGGTAAATCAAATATCTCCATCTTGACTAAATGGAAAGCAATACATGAAAGATTTTTGAATGCCAATGACAACACGAAACTCCACATAAAAGAGAAATTGAGGAAGATTTCATTTCCAGAGACCATAGACTTGAAACCACCCCCTCAACCGATAAAAACAAAAGGAGCACATAAGAAGGTCAAACCTACACCGAGTGACAATTCAACAATGAAGAGTTCATCATATTTTGAACATGTTGGCAAACTTTTTCCCGATTCACCAACTCCAAAATTTCATAAAAGTGTTTTTAAAGGAGCTCGCATTAGCAAACCACCTCCACCAAAAATCCTATTCATTAAGGAGATGTTGGGTTTTATGCATAACTATATTGAATGGATCGTCAATATCAAGAGTGACAATAATTGTGTTTTTCAGGTTGTTTATGCTTTACTCAGTAAAGAGGATCACACACTTGTCCAAGAGTCGAGGTTCAATAAAGAATAATACACACGGATGTTTGGGAATAAAGAGAAAGTTGAAGAAATTTATCACTCTCTTATACCTTGC